ATGTTATTTTTATGTATTATAGATAGTATTATTATATTATTATTACAATGGGGAAGCACTTGTAGGGGGAGGGGATGGAAGGTATTCAGGCTTAATTTAGGGAACTGGAACACAGATCCAATTCCATAGATCAAGAGTCCCTCACCACGTACATACCAATAATAATAATAATAATAATAATAATTATAATAATACAATATAATAGTAATAATAATAATACAGGTCGGATTTACAGCCATCTGCACAATTTCTCAGTCAGTATAATGATGAAATTTGAAATTATGCTAGCTGAAATTAGTGCTGGATTACTAATGGAACTGGATAACTGATTGCTGGATTAGTGATGGCCGACTTGTAATAAAAACAGTAAGGAGAAACTTCAAAAGGCTGCTAGTAGTTGGCTCCACCATCAGCAAAACATTGTTAACCACTACTTTTCACCTCTAGACTTACACAGTACACAAATAACCCGCGCATAGAAGAGAGGAGCTTATGACGACGTTTCAGTCCAACTTGGACCATTTACAAAGTCACACTAACGAAAAGAAGAGTGGGAAGGGTATATATAGGCAGGAGGTAGTAGTAGTGGTAGTAGAGGTGGAAGTCTGCCCGAAATGCCTCAGCATGATAGTGGCTTTCTTTGCTCCAATTATATTATGATGTGTAAACACACATTGTAACCTTTGCAAAGAAATAAATATTTTATTTATTTATTTAAGGAACCTCCCTTGAGGGGGAAGTATGCATCCTGAAATTTCATTTGTATCCAGAAGCAAAAAATCAACTGAACGACTTTTCGTATCCTGAGAAGTTCTTATGGTGGGGGCGTTCATAAGCCGAGGTTCCACTGTATTGAACAGACACACCAACCACTCCATCACTACTTCCCCACTCACTTTTAACATTTGTCCCAACCATCTTTCCCTTCTGTTTTACCCCCTTTCATTCTACCCGGTTCCTGTCATGCACTCCTCACATATGTGTGTGTATTTACTTAAATAGAATATACACTGTATGTATGTACAGTGAACCTTCTCATTAACAGACTAATAGGGGAAAGGGCGTACAATATTGTCGATTACGTATTCTAAGCTTCCAAATTATACAATTAATTGTTCATGATTGTCCAATTATCTTCTGAACTAGTTGATTTGGTCCCCTGTTGCAGGAAAAACCAGACACTAAGAATACAGGTGTTGTAAGCTATAGTACTACAGTACTGTACTGTATGGTAATTTTATAGTGCAGGTACTGGACATAATGTACAATAATTTCTTACCTTTTCGTGGTGGAGAGATGAGGTGCAACTGCCATGATCGATAGTGGCGACTCGGGATATTTTTATTTTGAATCGGAGAACGGTAGAGCTTCACTATCATCTCCACTAAACCTAGAGATTAGTCTAAGTTTGTCCTTGCTTCTACGGATATCAGACACTGTGTTTCTTAACACCCTATTCCTCTCATACCTGTGCCACTGAGACACCAGACTCAACCCTCTTTTTTAGTTAAAGCTTCTGCTTAACACTGAGAGAGACACTTTTCTTCTTGGCACCACCTTTCGCTTTAAAAGTCATGGCTAATTGCACTTTACTTATTATGTTAATAAAGTCATACAAAGCACTCTAAATTAAGGGAAAATTAGAGATTGAATGATGTGTGTTTGAGTGAGCAGAAATTTTACTGGCATAGATTGTCTCCAGCTCACCGTATTGAGATTTTGTCCATTTGAGGTAGCATAAGTGTGTCAGGTATCCCCCATACAACAGACCAAGTCCACTGCACCAAGGTTTTTCAATAGTAGTATTAATGTCGTATAGGCTCTCCACACAACGGACCATGTCCATTACATTGGGCATTTTGTCACGACAGATTTTAGATTAAATAGAAACTTTTCCCCCTTCCTATTAGTCTTTTATACCAAGATTTCACTGTATAAAGTGTAATAAATGCTTGTCAAAAATAAAATTCAGTTTTAGAGAGAGTAGTTCTCAGGTCAATTTGAGGAAGTTATTAGAACCCCCCCCCTCCCCCATCTCAGTTTTCTTCTTGCACTTGTCCTCTCAGTATCACCTTCATTGCTTCTCTCTCCTCTACATCCATGTTTGCCTACAAAAGAAAAAAGTTTCACATATTACTCTCATTAAAATCTAAGAGGGGCACACATGTGAACACGTGAGTGTACCGTGTGTGCACACACATGCAAACACACGTACGTATGTAAGTATATGCTCATATACACATTCCCTCTCATTCCTCAGTATGTACATACAGAAATGGGACATACTACTGATAATACAAATAAGACTCTGACACTATACATGGTTCATATATTTGTTGCCATAATACTGCTTTGCATAAAGAATTATTCAGGCATGTTTAGCTATATGGTTAAATTGGATAATACTCAGTTTATTCTTGACATTTTGAGCCTTCTTGAAAGTCATTTACATTTAAAACGTCCCCATGTCACATCAAAGCATTTGTTACTTTCATGGAAAATTGAGTTCACTGTAGCTACCTTAGTTTGCTAATATTAGAGACCCAAGAGTACATTGCAATAAAAAACAGTTAAAATAGCTTTGTAAATGCTCTGATTGGATGCTATAGGCTACAAAGTGAACATTTTCTAATGAGGAGTTACCTCTTGCATTATTTCTGAGTTGTTCACTTATCTCTTACAACTGTTGATGTAACAAAATTTGTAATGAATTTGGGAGAATAATAAACTTAGCAGGTTTTATAAAATTAAATGGGAGTTTTTTTAGGTGGAATGACCTTGCATTCCATATTGACTGTTTTATGTTATGTTTTCACTTGCAGCAACTTGACAGTTGTCATTAGGCTATTGTAGAGCTGTAAAACATGGGTCATGTAGTTCCATACCATCAACATAGCTTAGGCTAACACAAGTACCACATGGTTAACATCCATAAAGTTCCTTACTCAGAATTGTATTCATTGTATCTGTATCTTTGTACTTTATAAACATGCCGAGATTATACCACATTCATACTATTTGAGTTCATTTCTAAAGTACTCGAGTCTTGCCCCTATAGTATAAATCCTTGTTGAATATACCACAATACTACGAGGCATAGGAAATGAATAGTTACCATTCTCTTGTGATAGCTTAGCACACAATTTGGCATATAAGATGCTACATTGAAGAATTGCTATTTTGATGTAGACATTCCTTGTGCAATTTTTAGACAAATGATAAAATTTTCTCTGAGATATCCCATATGATTTAAGAATAGGTATAAAATTTGGTTAATTACTTTGACACTTCAATTTCTTACAGTAAATTCTAACTAAATTCAACATGCATAATAAAAAACTATACTGTACTGTGGTTATTTGCTAGCCTAAAGGTTTTCATTGACATTTTATGATTTTTTCTAGAAACACAAATTGAATTAATACAGGTTTTCCTCAGTTTTTTCTGGTAATTTAAATGGATTTTCTTATATGTAGTCACTTGTCAGTGAAAACTAAAGTAACAAGTTCTTCATAATTAGTACTTTTTTTGAAAAGTCAACTAGTATAGTATTTTTATCATGTTGTATTGTGTAAATAAGATATTTTGAAATGATATCCTTTTGGATATGTTAGCTAATGTACTTTTTCATACTGATAAATTAAATAATCCCTTGATTATTAATCTTATTTACACAACCAACACAAATACAGCATTTTTAAATTTCATTCAAAATATCTGCATTTTGTAAATATATACATCTATAATATTTTTTGAAGTCTGTTTATTTTCCTCTATATACTTTCTTGACAAGCATTCTGTTGAGCCCTAGATGATATATCAATAAGTCTCTGTATTTCATCTGTTATAATACTTCTAACTCATCCGATGAATTTGCAAGCAAATTTGACATAATATGCCTCTGAATACACTACTGTATTGTCTTTTCTGTCCAGATATAATTCTTTATTTGCTTTATCAGAAATATAGACTGGTGATAGTTGAAGGGCAAAGTTTGTGCTGCAGCAAGGACACACACTGGCTGCATTAATCACATGATGATATAACCTTGAATATGGTGGATTAGCTGGATATATTTCTTGAAAAGCAACTAATAAGTTTGCCAGTAATGATCATTTTTGTAATGTAGCAGTAATATATTTAAAAAAATAGATTATTAAAATAAAAAATCTTGATAATTTTGTCAAATGTGTTTTGCCTCTTTATCATGGTTTCTCAGTAGGAGTGAGCTATTAAAGAATTTAGACATTTTATATGCTTATTTGCTGAGCATTATTAGTGAACAGTTATAATGCGAGTTAATATTTTCAATTTTCTTGATTGTTCTTCTAGATAATACTGTTTGATATTGTGCAATGCCCATTATTATTGCAGTACATTAGAGAAGTATTGCATATAAGAGGCTTTTTAGTGATTACTTTGATTTATACAATAAGATGAAGTAATTTTAAGTGAATGTGATTGATTAGCACATACGGCAACAATACTCCATCTAAAAAACTTTGCTTGTCATAATTTTCATAATAAGCCTAATTAATTTTATTTAAAAAATGTAATTAACATTGAAACTCCATCCTCAGTGGTAATTAGCATGTATTAATTATCCAGCTGATCTTAATATTTATATTCATCTTTTTTTTAATTAACAAACTGCTTCAATTATCAAAATTGTTTAGCCATAAAACTATTTTAATATATTGTGTCAAAAACAAATTCATAGTAAATTCTCAAGATTATCTTGTGCCCTCTCAACCATGGACCATTAGCACAGCCTTTTGCAACTTTGGGTATTTTTGAAATACATTGGATGAGTTGGTTCAGTAGTACTGTACATTTGAGTAGGAAGCTGAGATTTTTTGAGATTCCCTCGTATCAATATACAATATTTAAAGGGAGTGCTCATTCAGAACTCTTCTTTCACTCATTATTCAGTTGGAGACTTATTGAACTTACATCTAAGGCTCTTACTCGCTAATCTTGGCACAAAACTTCCCCTGCAGTTGATGCCGATGAAATCCGCCGACTTGGCAAGCGGTTCCGCAAACTGGACCTAGACAACTCTGGTTCTCTTTCGGTGGAAGAATTTATGTCTCTTCCAGAACTTCAACAGAACCCACTGGTCCAGCGTGTTATAGATATATTTGATGCAGATGGCAATGGGGAGGTAGATTTCAAAGGTAAGGCAGAATCAGTAGGTTCAAGAAACCTTAAGCATTGCATATTATGTGTGGGTAAGTAAATATCTCTAATAAACTGTTAATGTGGCTACACTAGGTGACATATTAGCAATGAGTAAATTCCTGGAGATTGAAGGATGTCATTGCTAAGAAATGCACAGTAACTCCCATTTTGTCTTGAGGAATATATTATCACAAGTTCAGAGGGGCTACTTAGGGACTTCCCTGTATGTACAATAGTGTAATTCTGTCAGAAGCATTTGTTTCTACTATTTATTAAATAATATGAAATTCCAGACATAATTTGAAATAATTTTTCTTTGGTGTCAAACTTTTAAGAATAAATTTTACCTCCCATTCACACAAATATAGCCTTTCAAAATTCATGTATTTCTACTCAGTAACTTATGCTTATTTGGCCACATTGCACACAAGTTTCAGGTACAAGAGAGTTCCTGCTTGCCAACCTCTGATCATGTCAGATAGGGCAATTTTCCTCTAACAAGCCCTGAAAATGTAATTTGTTTGCCTGCAGCCTGCCACACCACACGATCACACATTCCTCCTCGGATATTTTTTTCTGTTAATTGTGGTCACACTTGAGGTATAGTTTAATGGCACACCCATTTCCTTCCCAGAATGTTATGACTAAGCTATTTTAGATGGGCTAAAAGAGCCCTCCGTAGTATCCATGCTGCAAGTTTTGTGGTTGTATAATAGACCCTAATAAATAGGTGTCTTGTATGTTATTTACACCGCTCTGGCATTGTCTTCCTGCATGCTTTTGCCTAGGTAACAAAAGGCCGATGTTTAAAACAGTCCCTCATGGAGACACTGTCAACTGTAGATCTTAAGAGTCCATGGCACTACATCGTAATTAAGTCAAATCTCGACATCAGCATTGTAGCACTGGTGTTGATGAAGGAGGCGCCAAACAGTAACATTCTACCAGAGAAGAGGTATTTCAAGACAGGGTGGAAATGATTTAAAATCAGATATTTTCTCCATATCATGCAGAAGAGTAGCTACCTGGATAGAACAAGAGTACAATAGTAAAGGCTCGCTGGATGTGGGTCAACAAGCTGGCCAGAGCATAAGGCCAGCAGGTAATGATTACTGTTCAAGAGGAGCTGGAGCTTCATTGTCCATCATTCAGTGAGTTGCTACCTGAGAGGTAAGGTGTTCTAATGCAGTTCAGTTGCAACAAAGCATTTTCTTTATGGTACTAAAAGCTGCATATGACTTTCTTCTCTTTCTTGGGTTAAATAGCATTTGCAGAAATATCTGTGCATTTTCCAGGTTTCTGGCTTTCCAAAACCAATTGATTTTGACTTCCAGTCTATTCATAAGCATAAGGAAAATCTCATGTTCATGTACTCCATGACTTTAAGACAAGGAGGAAGTCTTCCAGAGCTTCTGGTAGCCACTTTTGCAGGATCTGGTCTGGTCTGGTGTGGTGTGGTGTGGATGGTATACTGTGGATTTTGTCCCAAATTTTGTAGGTTCAAGTCTCTTCCGGCCTGAGGAAGATGTTTTTAAATATTTCACTTGTTCTGTGAAGTCTAAACATATTCTAATATCTTTCATTTGTCAGTGGATGTGGGAGAAATGATAAACTAATTACCAGCCGTATGCCAGCTACCCTGGAACAAACACCTGGCTTGGCTGTGAGCCAGAGTATTGTGTAGTCTGGCATGGTTTTAGTACTGTGTACCATGTAGGTTCGAATCTCCTCCAGCCTGAAATGTGTGTGTGTGTGAGATAGAGAGAGATAGATTTATTTATTTCATTTATTTATTTATTTATTTATTTATTTATTTATTTATTTATTTATTCTCTCACCCAAACTCAACCATACTAAGAGATGCTGTAAATGACGAACTTCCAAAAATATCTACCTGGATGACCACCAACAAACTTACTCTCAGTATAGACAAAACCTACTTCACGCTATTTGGAAACAGAGCTTCAAATGTACAGCTAAACATGGAAATATAAACACACATGCAGTATAATGTGATCTTTTATTGACAACGTTTCGCCCACACAGTGGGCTTTTTCAAGTCACAAACAGATCTACCTGGGGTGGAAGGTACGCGAGTATTTATAGTCAGGTTCAGAATGCTGAGGTCAGGTGGAGAATGCTGCATCTGATGATGTACTGAGTGGGGTTATAGAGTCTAAAGTCTTGGGTAGCCTGGAAGTGAGATTGGATAAGTTGGCCTTCTGCAGTGTTCTTCCATTCCTATGTTCTTATGTGGGATAGCGATGAAGAAATTTCTTGGCAAGTGGTTCAGCTATGTTATAGAAGCCATTATTCTGGTTGAAGTTGTCGGATATAAAGATAAGTGATGATTCCAGGATTCTTCGGTACTGAGTGTTGTCTTCTGTGGCGATAAGTCTTGAGTTTCTCTAGTTTATTAAGTGGTTGTGTGAATTACGGTGTTGTACACAGGCATTCCTTGTATCGTCAGACCTGCTTGCGTGTTGGTGTTCTGAAATACGTGTTTGTAGGTCCCTTGATGTTTTGCCCACGTATAATTTGTTGCAGTCATTACAAGGGAGGATGGAAGCTTGTCCTGTCTATCACTGGTAATGTCCTTGATGGTCGTGGTTGTGGAGGTAGATACTTGGAATGAGGTATTGGAAAAGATGTTGGAAATGTGTTTGGCAATGGAGTTGGTGGGGAGGACTATGTATCTCTTCTCGGCAGTGTCTTCTCTGGGTGTGTTGAAGATGTTTAATGCCCGTCATCTGCAGTCTCTGATGAAGTGACGAAGATAGTGGAGTTTAGAAAATACTTATTCAATTATAGTGCATTCTTCCTCGAGAAACTCATTGCTGCAGATTCTGAGTGTACGCAGGAAGAAGCCTGTAATTACACCACGTTTAGTTTTGGTGTCGTCGTGAGAGTAGAAGTGGAGAAGATCGTTTTGGTTGGTTGGTTTTCGATAGACTTTAAAACGAAGTTCGTGGTCAGCTTTGCAGAGAAGAACATCAAGGAAAGGAAGAGTGTTGTCGACTTCTTCTTCAAGTGAGAACTGGATTGAAGGCTCGAGGGACCTACAAACACGTATTTCAGAACACCAATACACAAGCAGGTCTGACGATACAAGGAATGCCTGTGTACAACACCGTAATTCACACAACCACTTAATGAACTACAGAAACTCAAGACTTGTCGCCACAGAAGACAACACTCAGTACCGAAGAATCCTGGAATCATCACTTATCTCTATATCCGACAACTTCAACCAGAATAATGGCTTCTATAACATAGCTGAACCACTTGCCAAGAAACTTCTTCATCGCTATCCCACATAAGAACATAGGAATGGAAGAACACTGCAGAAGGCTAACTTATCCAATCTCACTTCCAAGCTACCCAAGACTTTAGACTCTATAACCCCACTCGGTACATCATCAGATGCAGCATTCTCCACCTGACCTCAGCATTCTGAACCTGGCTATAAATACTCGTGTACCTTCCACCCCAGGTAGATCTGTTTGTGACTTGAAAAAGCCCACTGTGTGAGCGAAACGCCGTCAATAAAGGATCACATTATACTGCATGTGTGTTTATATTTCCATTGTGTCGGTATTTTATACCATTTATTCCCACAGCTAAACATACTGGTAAATGGTTCACTCATTTCAAGACACACAGAGGGCAAATTTCTAGGTCTCCACCTTGACTGCAGACTCAAATTCCAAACCCATATACAGCAAATATCCAGGAAAGTCTCCAAAACAGTAGACATCCTATCAGAAATATGGTACTATGTACCCCAAACGGCTCTTCTTGCTCTTTACCACTCTCTCATTTACCCTTACCTCACCTATGGTATTTGTGCATGGGGCTCACCCACAGCAAATCACCTTAAATCTTTAATAACCCAACAGAAGCTGCAGTGCAATTGATTACTAACTCCTGCACTAGACAGCATACTCCACTGCTTTACAAGAGTCTTAACTTGCTTAACATACAAAACATCCACACATATTATCGTACCTACTACATACACAGCACACTATACTCCAACATAAATTCTCCTTTTAGACTCCTCCTCGATAATCGTAGTTCTCGAGAATCATAGATTTTGGAAATCATAGGGATATTTTCGTATAAACATGGGCTCGCTAATCGTAGATTGACTTGCAAATAGTAGTTCGTCCGGGACAGGTACACACGGCCCCGAGGCGCCTTACACTCCTTTCCCAGCCAGTGTGCCATTGTTTATAAGTGAGTGAGGATGATCCCACGAGTTCATACGATACATTTCATAATATTCCATTCGTTTTAGTGTTTGCAACTGCTAAATAAGTCACCATGCCTCCAAAGAAAGCTTCTAGTGCCAGCCCTTTGGTAAAGAATGTGAGAAACACACATAATTTAAGAAAAAGTTTGTAGAAAAATATGGAGGTGGTGGTGGTAGAGTGGAACCAGTTGTGATAGTGGTTGATGGTGGTAGTGATGGTTGTAGCAGTTGTAATAGTGGTAATAGTTGTAATAGTGAAGATAAATGGTATAAAATACCGACACAGTGGAAACATAAACACGTGCAGTTTAATGTGATCCTTTATTGACAACGTTTTGCCCACACAGTGGGCTTTTTCAAGTCACAAACAGATCTACCTGGGGTGGAAGGTACGGGAGTATTTATAGTCAGGTTCAGAATGTTGAGGTCAGGTGGAGAAATGCTGCATCTGATGATCTACTGGGTGGGGTTATAGAGTCTTGGGTAGCTTGGCAGGGGTATTGGACAAGTTGTGAGTAGACCTTCTGCAGTGTTCTATGTTCTTATGTGGGATAGCGATGAAGTTTCTTGGCAAGTGGTTCAGCTATGTTATAGAAGCCATTGTTCTGGTTGAAATTGTTGGTTACAGAGATAAGCGATGATTCCAGGATTCTTCGGTATTGAGTGTTGTCTTCTGTGGCGATAAGTCTTGAGTTTCTGTAGTTAATTAAATGGTTGTGTGAATTGTGATGTTGTACACAG